TTAAAAAAGGCAGATACTGATCCGAAACAAAGGCATGAGCAAGTGTCATGGCAAGTGTCGGTCATATGCCCATCCAATGCCATGAAACCACGCCCACGGTCTTTGCCCCCAGTCTCACATTGCAATCATGTCGGCTCAAGGCTCGAGACTCTTGTCGAGACTACAAGGAAAGGTTGCCATCGTCACCGGTAAGTGCCTACAACCTTTTTCGAATAGTATGTCTTGACTAAGTAATCTTGTTGTCTGTTTTCAGGAGGTGGCTCAGGCTTTGGTGCTGCCATTGCCCGTCGGTTTGGCGAAGAGGGTGCCAAGGTTATCGTGACGGACATCAACGTCGAGGGCGGCGAGAAGGTTGCTGCGCAAACCCGGCCAACCTGGTCTTCCAGCGAATGGATGTGACACAGGAGAGTGATTGGACGGCCATTGTGGACTTGGCTTTCTCCAAGTTCGGTGGCCTGGATGTGCTGGTGAACAATGCAGGAACGTCCTACCGAAACAAGGTGGGTATCCTTTGTTTCGAAAAACCTACAATTTGCTGATGCGTCACGCCTGTATAGCCTACGGTCGAGGTCACCGATGATGAATGGGAGCGTGTTTTCAAGGTCAATGTCAAGAGCATTTTCCTGTCCGGAAAGGTTGTCTTGCCTCGCCTGATCGAACAAGGGAAGGGTGGCTCGATGATCAACATTTCTTCCACTGGCGCGACCCGGCCACGACCCGGCCTGGTGTGGTATAATGCGTCCAAAGGTGCCGTCACAAACGTGAGTAGTGGATTGACTTGACCATGAAGAACACATGCTAAAAGAGATTATTTCTAGGCCACCAAGGGTTTGGCTGCCGAGTACGGGCCACACAACATCCGCATAAACTCTGTTGCGCCTCTGCTCTCAGGAACTGGTCTGTTCTCTATGTTCACTGGTATGGAGGACACCCCGGAGAACCGTCAGAAGTTCGTTGGAAACGTGCCTCTTGGCCGTTTGACGGAAGCAGACGATGTCGCCAACATGTGTCTGTACTTGGCTAGTGACGAGGGAAGCTTCATTAACGGCACGGAGATGATGATTGATGGTGGAAAGTGCATCTAAACGGATATGGCGTCATGGGCAATAGCGATACTATGTAGTTTTGTATTCCGTCGAATGTAACAACTTGCTGTGTTTTGATGACCCGTTTTACCCCGCAGATGTGATGAACTCGAGGTTTTCCATACTATCTCCCTCTGGGCAGACCTGGATACTCCGGCCGGTTTCGGCAGCGGTGCAGCGGTGCAACATTGATTGCTCTGTGTTTTTCTCTTGGGGGAGAGGAATGCCGTGGCCCCGCGCCTCCGGCCGCACTCTCCAAGTCCTCTTGGTTTCATAATTTTTTGTCCTTGAAGAGAGGAACATGAATTTTGGAGGGACTTGTGGGCCAGCTTTTTGAACTAGCTTTTCTAGCTTGAAGCCAAAAAGACTTCAAAGACTAGGATTATTCGGCACCGGGAGTCGAACCCGATCCTCTCCCTTCAATTTCATCTCCAGCGAACAAGACAAGGGAGTGTGCACCCCACGACACCCGAATTATTAGCCTAGTTTTGAGGTCGCTTAACCGACAGACGTCAGACTCTTGGACGCCTCTTCTAAGTTAGCTAAGAGCTGGAAAAAAGGCACCCACCATCCATCCACGATGAGGATTAATTCGGGCGCCGGTTTTCCCACTCTTCAGTAGCTTTTCTGCCATTTCAAGACGAAGGGACATGTACCGTACAGCACGCCCAAGTGCAGTCAATGCTTTGTCGCGAGGTTGAATAACCCAGCAATTTTCGAACCATAGATCGAAGTTCAAGATCAGAAAAACAAAAAGCGTGGAACCCGCTCATTCGGGTACCGGGAGTCGAACCTGGGTCTCTCCCTTTCACTATTTCTCCCGCTATTCAAGAAGAGGGAGTGCGTTCCATACACCACGCCCGAGTTGAGTGCTTAGTTGCGAGGTCGGGTAAGCCACCAAGTTTTTGCTCGCGGGCAGGCTGCAGACGATTCAAACCCCGCAATTCGAATTCGAACGAGACCAATTTCTCCGCTATTCAAGAAGAGGAGTGCGTTCCATACACCACGCCGAGTTGAGTGCTTAGTGCGAGGTGGATAAGCCACTAAGTTTTGTCGCGGGAAGGCTGCAGACGATTCAAACCCCGCAATTCGAATTCGAACGAGACCGAGAACGAGTAGAAGACAGCCAAAAACCCAATAGATACGATACACAACGAGAGAAGACAACGACCCCATATGTACGATAGCGAAGGTGAAGCTGAAGGTGAAGGCGAAAGGAAATACGTGTGTATCATCAACGCGCAAGTGAGTGAAGAGGGAATGCCCGGATTGGGATGACAAGAATGGAGGAGAACGAGTCCGGGAAAAATAAATACGCAACGAGGAACAGTTCGCCATATATACGGATACGTGGTAGCACAATCAGATGGGGAGGGATACACGATGAGACCCAATAAGACAAAGAACCCGGATTAGAGCGCTGGAAGAGATGGCGCGGGGAGGGCTCTGGGACGAGATGGTGGACGACGTGGTGTGGTGCGAAAGATGTGAATGGATGGGAGATGCGAGAAGAGATGCGAGACTAGATGAAAGGTGGAAACAGGTGCAGCGAGGACGGCTGTATTTCGGCGCGGATGAAAGGAAGACAGAGCGACGAGGGGATGGTGTCGTGTGGCACGGAAGACGGAGATGCGAGAAGGGATGGAAGGAAGGAGGACACGCGTGGATGGTGTGGTGCAAAGAAGTGAGTAAACGGGGACGTGGATCCGAAGCCGAAGACAGCGGCGAGATATGTGAGCATGCAAGTAACGGCCCGTGGGTGAAAGAGTGGATACAGTGGGCACGCCCAGCGGAATCGGACCGTGCTCACGCACCAAATAACATTCAAAGTGAATGTACGACAACACAACGCCCACGACGTGAACATTCTCTGCGCCTGCGGCCTCCGCCAGCTCTGCTCTCACTGCGCGAGCGCGCGCGCAAATCCGTGGTTGGGCTTCACACACGCGCGTTTACGCGTTTACGCTCGATGAAGGCGAGGGCGGCGTCATGGCTCATGGCGTGGCTGCGGATGAGGTATGCGAGCGCGAGATGCGCTGTGAGTGCGGAGCATGACGAAGGTAGTGACAGTGAGAGCGACGGATCACGCGGGCCGAAGGTGATGCGGGCATCCAAGTGGCATCTCAAAGGGAAGCAAGCTTGCTAGCTTCGATTTTCAAAGTATCCAGCTGAAGGACCAAAAAGGGACTACTGTACCGTAGATTCAGGTCACAGGTCGCAACGGCCAGTGAATTGAACCTATTTTATTTTTGTCACAGGTCACCAGTGAGTCTGAATTTGGCGACATTTTTTCCTCGCACTGGAAGAATATTATTTTTTCGTCTCCCAGCCAGTTTTTCAGCTCTCCTACGCCGCCAAATCTAATGAGTACCAGGTAAACGAGTGCATTTGAGAAGCTGGATGGGCAGAATACGCCTTCCCCGCTGTCAGATTGAATCAAAGTTGAATGATAAAAATTACGGTCACAGGTCTCACCTCAGGTTGAATTTAGCAAAAGGTGAATCCAGATATCTATATAAGAATCGAACACCTTTGACTCTCGATAAACCTGATTGGCTGTCCGAGCACAGCATGTCGTCAATTACTCCAACGCTCCACTGAAAACCGTCGAGATGTTCAAATCTCCACTCAACTGTTGGATTTCTATTTTTGAGATGTTCAGATGTTGAAAACTTGGTTCTTGAAGTGTGATTACTTCTAAACATCATATATAAACACATTTTGAATACTCTGGCAACTGTAAATAATGCCGGGCTTAAGCTAATCACCTCATTCGAGCTTAAATCTGGGAAGCACGCACGAATGGAATGAAAACTTCCAAAAACAGCTTGGTTTTGATGGACTGCAGAACCGGCACAATTTCCAAGGACCATGCCGGTGCTAGGTCCAAAGCAGACTAACTAAATATAAGCAGGATATCCTACATGGCTACAACAAATTGGATGCAAAAAAGACGACATAGTGTTCATGAATACCCAATACCAACAATCTCAGTCACCGGAAAATGGATTAACACTTTTTTATATTAAAGATTTTGAACTCAGTTTGACTGAATCTGCAAATGCCCATGGATTGTTCTATAGGCAGCACATCATGGGAAAAGAATCACCTAGCAGTCCAGACGCAGACCAGATATGAAAAGACAATACCAATACTGTAATGTACCGATCCACTGAATATTCCTGGCGTGTTCTGGGCTCACCTATGAATTAAAAGGCAATCAGAATAGCTGTTACAGGCCACTAGGCCTGGACGAGTCAACCGGAGATCGACGAGGAATGGCAATTTCAAGCCTTTTCAAGCAGGAAAAATGAAAATGTTAGATTCTAATATTCCCACCGTAGCGAAGCACGGGTTACTGCTAGTACTACAATAAAGCGAGGTACGAGTTCAAATATGGTTGTAGCGTCTGTTTAGAAGAGACTACAGATATAGACATCATTGAAGGAATACACCACACCCAAGTTATTAGCTTAGTTCTAACATCGACTCACCACTGACTTGTTGCATCGAACTTGACGAGAAATTAATTTTAAACAGCTCGAGATCAGCCTTACTCACACCTCGGACCTCGGTGGTGTTTCAAATGTGGAGGGATGGATGACCGATTTTGGAACCAGAAATTCAGTTCCAGGCAAAAAAAATGTCGAGAGCAGGAAGATTCGGGCGCTGGGAATCGAACCCGGTTTGCTCCCATTCATTCCTTCCCACACTCATACTAGAGAGAGGGAGCGTGTCCCATCCACCACACCCGAATTGAAGGATTGGTTGCACACTAAATATCCCAACAATCTTCGAACCAACCGTCGGATCTCGGCTCCATTGTATTAGTTTTTCAAAACAGCTCTTCCATTTGAATGAAAAAAAGTGAAGTTCAAGACTGCGCAGCAAAAACAGTTCACGACTCTCCAACAATTCGGGCGCCGGGAATCGAACCCGGTTTTCTCCTTACAATTGCGTCTTCCTGGATCCAAAAGAGGAGGAAGCGTGTTCCATACACGACACCCGAATTATAAGCTTAGAGGTCGACTAACCCACTGAACTTGACAGAAACATAAATGGCTCGAGATCAGCACTCATCCTCACCCTAACCTCTGAGATATTTCAAGTCTGGATGGATGACCGATTTTGCAACCACAAATTGAGTGCAAGCCAAAAAAAAAAAGAGAGAAGAATGAAATCATTCGGGTGCCGGGAGTCAAACCTCTCCCTTCAATTCCACCTTTTGTTCATCCTCCGAGACGAGGGAGCGTGTACCATACACCACACCCGAATTACTAGCCCAGTTCTGCAGTCGCTTAACCCGACTTCTTCCATCCAACTTGACAAGAAATGCGCAACTAATCAGCTCTCACCCCCCTCAGTGGCATCTCAAATGTGTCTGAAGGGGAGAGTGTTCCTGCCCACAATTCTCGAACCTGAAAATCCGGCATCCAGGAGGGGGAATGGGAAAAAAATACTTTGCAGACTTGAGAAACTCGGGCACCAGAATCGAACCCGGGTCTCTCTCCTCCCGCATATTTATCAGCCACAGAATAGGTGTGCCTTACACGACACCCGAGGTATCAGCCTAGTTCTGAGGTCGAATAAACCCCGGATTTATTTGGCTAGGTCACTTCAAAATCATATCAAACCCCCTTGACTCAAGCTTGAAAAAGGAGGGGGAAAAGGAAAAAAAATCCAGCTGAAGCCAAAAAGCCACGACAAATTGACTATTCGGGTGCCGGGAGTAAAACCCGGGTCTTTCCTTCGTCATATCCTTTCCCTTGAAGAGGAAGGGGCATATTCCATGCACCACACCCGAGGCATTAGCCTCGTTCTAGGGTTGACTAACCCACTGGCTGGTTCCATTAAACTTGATCAGAACTTGAAGTTTAAACGACTTGTCAGCTATGGCCCCAAATCAGCAATATCAGCAATATTTCAAGTGTACTCAAAAACAGGATTGCACTGCGCCGTGAACGTCCCACAGCAATCTTCGAACCAGAAATTCAGTTCAAGCCAACACAAAAGGGCAAAAACGAGGCAGTTCGGGTGTCAGGAGTCGAACCCGGGTCTCTCCCGTCCATTCATCTACAACCATGAAGAGGAGGGAGCGTGTACCGTACACCACATCCGAGTTGGGGTTCATGTTGTACCTTTGAACACTTCCATTGAACCCCGTCCATCCCCAGCTGGTCAGATCGGCTATGGCCGACATCCGAGATATTTATTTCAAGTCTATATAAAAGGAAGAATGCCCCTACCTGCACTTTTAGAATCACAAATCGAAGCTCAAAACCAAAAAAAAAAAACCCCAAACTTGCTGGAGTTGCCATCTGTTTGGGCACCGGGAATCGAACCAGGAGGGAGTGTGTCCTACAGACCCCGCTGCAGCTGCTCGGCGTGCATAGCCACCGTGACGCATCGTGACCATGTACTGTACTATTTCGACCGTAGATTCAGGTCACAGGTCACAATGACCAGTGAATTGAACCTATTTTATTTTGGTCACAGGTCACCAGTGAGTCTGAATCTGACGACATTTTTTCCCCGCGATGGACGAAGATTGATTTTTCGTCTCCCAGGGAATTTTTCAGCTCCTCACGCTAATTTTGGTGCCAAATCTGATGAGAACTAGGCAACTGAGAGCAGTTGAGAACCTGTATCAGCAAAATATGCCTTCTCCGCGGTCAAATTGAATCAAAGTTGAATGATAAAAATTATGGTCACAGGTCTCACCTGAGGTTGAATCTAACAGGTCACAGGTCACACCCACTGAATCTAAGGTCGAAATTGTACAGTATTCCTGTCTTTGCCTTAGCTATTCATTGTTTTGCTTGCTGTTGCCTGCCCTGCTGCTCAAGCCATCCCCAATGCCCGAATTATTACCCTGTTCTGTAGTCGCTTAACCCCCACGGACTGCTTCCATTAAACTTGACAAGAAAATATCTTCGAACAGATGGCCGCCGGCCCGCCGACATTCAGAAATTCTATTAGTTCGAAGCATGCTTGCTACCTTCAATTTTTTGAACCAAAAGAAATTAGCTTGAAGGAGGGAGAAGGGGAAAAAAAAGCATTCAGGTGCTGGGAGTCGAACCCGGTCCTCTCCTTCGTACTTTTCGTTTTCACCCACAAGGAAAGAGGGTGCTCTGTATACCGCATCTGAATTAAAGGTTAGGTCGCACCCTGTATACACCACCGATTTTCGAACCAAGCCATCCAGTCGAGGATTGTGGTCACCCTGCATATTGTACCAATTTTTCAAACCAGCTCTTCGAGTTGAAGGAAAAGTGGCTGCGCAGCAAAAAGAGCTCCAATCATTCGGGCGCCGGAACTCAAACCCCTCCTTTCGATTGCGTGCTCTTGGATCCAAAAGAGGAGGAAGCATGTTCCATACACCATACCCGACTTCCTCCCCTTTTCCAGCCAGCATCCCATCCATTATTGAACGTTGGACCTCGTGCGTACAACTCGTCAGTCGTGACACTCCGAAACATGTATTCCAAAGAGCAGGATGTTATGTGCCCACAATTTTTAGAACCAAAAAATCCAACTTGAAGCCAAAAGAAATTGCCAAAGCTGAATCATTCGGGCACCAGGAGCCAAACCCGGTTCACTCCTTTCAATCTCTAATTTGCTCAATTCAAGAGGAGGGAGTGTAATCCATACACGACACCCGAATTATCAGCTTGGTTCTGAGGGCGACAGCTGACCTCTCAACAGTGAACCATCGAATCTGGTAGATACATAGCTTGTCAGATCAGCCATGGCCAGGTAGGCAGGTTCTTAAAGGGAGGTAGAATCTCATAAAGTCCTTCTCCTGGAGATGCACCATATGGTTCCCTGGGCCACACCTTCATGGCGTGCTATGGCATGCTTGTTGCCTAGGTAACTGCAGCACTTGACATCTTCTTGTGATTAACCAGAAACTCTCCCGCTGACACTGTCTGGTTCAGCGGGTGACTCTTAAGTCCCTTTTAGAGAGTCCCCTCATCCTGTTATCAAGTTGTCCAGAGTAGCACCATAGTCAGCGGGCCACTCCAAAGGTAGTGTTCGTTTCGAGTAGTCACCGGGGAAATACTCCCCGACACAATCAATATATCAATCAAGGTGTCAGATGTCACCTGGCGACTCCCATTGGCTAATATACACTTTAAGAGAGTCACCCGCTGACACTGACACATTCTGTCATATCTGTTCTTCAGTTAGTAGTCGTCTCCCGCGGTTGAACCCATGCATTTGTTGGAATGCAAGAGTCACCCGCTGACTCATACTTATCAGTATCGGTTGTGTTCCGCCATTCTGTATGGCTCTCCGCGTCAGCGGCCAACTCTAAGACTTCAATAATTCCTCTTGTTCGCTTCTAGTACTCAAAGAAGTAGTGTTTAGCTACTTCCTGGCGCTCAATGGTGGTGGTTTAATTAGCAGAACTCTGACTTGGTTAGAGCCATTGTAAAACCATTATCCATAGTGACTCGCTGACTTTTGACTGTAAACAGCGTAGCCTACCACTCCAAGGTGAGCGTACGCTCTGTTCCCAAGCCTCACGTAGTCCCGTAAGATAATTCAAAAATGAATAAAAACTGTGGTTTTTACGCGTGTCCGGAAGCACACCCTATCAATGACTTTGCTGATCCATCCGAGCACCGGGCACCGGGAGTCGAACCCGTGTCTCTCCCTTCACTAATTCTTTCGCCATTAATATTTTAAGAAGAGGGGGCATGATCCATACACTACACCCAAGCTGAATGCTTGGGTTGGATCCTCCCCATACAACAGATTTGTGAACTAGCTTTTCTCAAGTAACTTGAAAGCCAAAAAAAAAAAAGACTCAAAGCTCAACCTTATTCGGGCACCGGGAATCGAACCCAGGTTTCCCCCTTCACTGATTTCTTTGGCCAGATTAAGATGAGGGAGCGTGTTCCGTACACCACACCCGAGTTGAGTGCTTGGGTTGCACTCTGCATACACCACAGATTTTTGAACTAGCTTTTCTAGCTTGAGGGTCAAAAAGACTTCAAAGACTACCCTGATTCCGGCGCCGGGAGTCGAACCCGGATCTCTTCCTTTCACCCATCTTTTTGTGACCCAGCAAGGGAAGGAAGTGTGTACCGTACACTACACCCGAATCGAGTGCTTGGGTTGCACCCTGCATATACCACAGATTTTGAACTAGCTTTTCCAACCTGAAGCCAAAAAGACCTCACCAGAAATTTCCACCATTGGGGCACCGGGAGTCGAACCCGGGTCTCTCCCTTCACCATTTTTAAAACAATTTAAGAAGAGGGAGCGTGTACCGTAAAATATATATCTAGCTTGTAGGAGGGTTGAAGCCAAAAAAAGCTCAAGTCGCTTCAGTTCGGGCACCGGGAGTCGAACCCGGGTCTCTCCCTTTCGACCTATCAACTGTGCTGAGCAGAAGGGAGTGTGTGTCGTACACCACGCTCGAGTTGAGTGCTTAGTTGCGAGGTTGGATAACTCCCCAAGTTTTTTTTTGCTCGCAATGAAGGCTGCAAACGCCGAATTCGAACGAGATGAGAGACAGCAAGAAAACCCGATAGATACATGATACTCGACGAGAAGACAAAGACAACAGCCCCATATGTACAATAGCGAAGATGAAGACGTGAAAGTGAGCACGCAAGCGCGAGATGTGTACGCGCAAGTGCATGAAGAGGGAACGCGCGGAAGGACCGGATCGTGACGACAAGAAATGACTCCCCGGGTCCCCAAGCAGATACGTGGTGGAGGGAAGATAAATACGCAACACGCAACGAGAAACGAGGTTAGCTATAGATACGGATACGAGATACAGAGTTGAAACCCGGATGCGAAAAAGACCCCGACGCGAAGATTCTATAATTATAAGCCCAGTTTTGGTCGTGTTGACCCAGTATTTTTCTGTAGGACCCTTATAGAGACTATCAACAAACCTACATATTCAAAAATGCCCACTCAAATCTTCAGCTAGCAGAAAGAATTGAATCCCTGCCACAATGGAAAAATTGTGGCTGTGCTACAAGTAGCGAACGCAGAAGTCTTCCTATGAGCGTGTAAAACATTTGGCAGAGCCAATAGCGCACATGAGGGAAAATTAATAATGGCTCTATTTCCTCCAACCAGCATTTGCTGGCGGGGATGCAGCCAGCATGATCAGTGACCTGATTTTTCGCATCAGGGTCCCACGCTGAAATGGCCTGGAAAAGCAATGGGCTCCTACCTCACGATGACAGCCCAGGAAAATCCCAAAATATTTGGAGTACATACATGATGTTAATGTTGTATACACCGACTGTTGAGGAGCAGAGTCTGGCATGCCATCGGGACAAACGGACAAGTTTTAAATTTTTCGCATCCGGGTTCAACGCTGTACTAGCACAGACACAATCAGACAGGGAGAAATACACGATGAGACCCAATAAGACAAAGAACCCGGATGAGAGCGAGGACGGATGGAAGAATGGCGCGGGAGTCGGCGCGGATGGATGAAGATGGGCGGATGGCGCAGACGGATGGATGGGAGATGCGAGGAGATGACGCGGATGGAAGATGGAAGACAGGAAGACAGGTGGATGGATGGATTTCGGCGCGGATGGAAGGAAGACAGCGTGGGGATTGTGTGGCGCAAAGAAGTCATGAACATGGACGGAAGATCTGGAGACAGCGGAGAGATAAGTGACAGGGTGAATCGGAGGGCGGGGTGTGTATGCAAGTATGCAAGGAAAGGTAACGTGGGCAAACGAGTGGATACAGTGGGATTGTGGACAATCTGTGTGTGCGCATCATCAGCTCCAGGCCCAGCACGCCACATATAACACGCCGCACGCACCTTGAAAATCCATCCAAAATGAATGTATGCCAACACAACGCACGCCTAGGACGTGAACCTTCTCTGCGCCTGCGGCCGACGCCAGCTCTGCTCCCCCTCGACGAGCGCGCGCGCAAAGCCGGGGTTGGGCTTCGCACAGGCGCGTTTGCGCTTGGCGAGCGCGGCATAATAGCTCATCGGTGGTTGCGGATGAGGTACGCGATGACAATGTTGGGCGAGCGCGAGACACCTTGTGGGTGCGTAACATGATGGACGAAGGTAAGTAAGAATGAAACAACGATCATGCGGATCGAATGTTTTGTGATGCGTGCATCCGATTGATTGGTCTACTCAGGCTATCTTTCGCCACCATCGTCCGAGTCCTGTCACTCTGGCGTGCAACTTCTGGGCTGATTTCTGACCTGAGGCCAAGACTCCCATATGTTAATACACGTGTCTGCCGGCTTACTGAATCAAAATTCTGGGTATTAGAACTCGCACAAGCGTCTTTGCGTCTTTCGGTTTCTCTCCTGAGTATCCTGCTCGCGCTCGTGGACTGGGTCGGGCGCCGGCGACAATTGTTAGCACAGGGGCCAACAATACCATGCGCATGCACTGGCAGTATCCGATGTAGAGTGTGTTTGACGGGAAGGAGTTTGTTCGCAGGCACTACGTTCAGACCCCCTGTAGGCACACCCTTGCCTACGTTCGTCTACGTTCGTCTACATGTGTCAAAGTACGTCGATCGCCGTAGGCAAGGGACATCGGCAGTGTTGCCTACATTCGTCTACGTCAGCCTACGTCACGTAGACATACTTTGCCTGGGTGTGTCCACAGCCGTAGACACACCTTGGTCCCCCCACTCACCATAACTGCAAATTTGATATACCAAATAGGTCTACATCCCACTATGTTCGTCTACATTGGTCTACTGCGGTAGACCAACGTAGGCATATGCAGACCAATGTAGACTCACGTATACCAACAGTGTCTACATGATGTAGGCATATGTAGGCAAACAGGTTGTCTACGTGTTGTCTACGCCGGTAGACACAGTGTGTGCCTACAGGGGTCTGAACGCAGTGAGGCCGTGACCGTGAACACCACAAAACTATGTACACATTGAGTCCGATGACGGACCTGGGTGCTTGACCGTATAAAATCCAAATTTGTTTGATGGTAGAGTTTAGCATGGAAGTATTTTCGTTGGACACTCCGACTGCTCACGCGCCTGCGTGAGAATGACACTTCTTGTTTCTCAGTCTACATACCCTTGAATGCGTTTATCGAAACCAAGTGATGTAATTGTTTTCTCGACCTCCCAAAACACTTCATTTGACATTCAAAATGTACTACGGAATTTGTGCTGATGTATGCATGCACACCACGGCCTATTTACATATCAGAGAGTACACTTGTATCTGCACCATTCTCTATAAGGAGGTCGACCACATGTTCATGTTTGCGACGAAAAGCCATTTGTAGAGCTGTTTTGCTCCCCTGAGCTCTTCCACCTGGTCCATTGACATTTGCTCCATGGACAATGAGCAGCTGGACAATTGCTTCATGTCCTTCCTCTGCAGCAGCTTGCAATGCAGTTCCATACGAGCCTGGCGGTGTGTTGACATTGGCCCCATGTTCAAGCAGAATCTGGACCAATTCTGCATGTCCTTCAGCTGCAGCTGCTTGTAGTGCTGAGCCACGATATCCTCCTTGTGTATTCACATTGGCCCCCAGATTTATGAGTAGCTGAGCCACTTCTTTATACCCTCGGTCACAGGCAGCTTGGAGGGCTGTCCCATATTCTCCTCCCTGCTGATTTACATGGGCACCATTCTTCATGAGGAGACAGATCAATTCTTGAGACCCAGAATGTGCTGCGGCCTGCAAAGCTGATCCGTAATTTCCACCAGGTGCACACACATCAGCACCTTTCTCAAGGAGTAGATGCACCACCTCCAAGTGTCTCCCTGACGATGCAGCCTGCAGTGCTGACTCATAATATCCTCCCTGTGTGGATATGTCCGCACCTTTCTCAAGCAGCAGCTCAACCACTGAAGTATGTCCCCAATTTGCAGCTGCCTGGAGTGCAGTCCCATCCTCAAAAGAGATTGTATCTAGCTCAGCACCCTTTTCAATGAGCAATTGAACCACTGCTCTGTTTCCTTGGGCTGAAGCCATTTGCAATGGTGCTCCAAATGTTTTCCATGCACATTCACATTTGCACCCTTCTCAATTAGCAACCGAACAACTTCAACATGCCCCCTGAACATGCAGCACCAAGTGCTGTGCCATCTTCACCTCCCTTCTTATTTACATCTACACCCAGATCAATGAGTAGTTGAACCACAGTCTCATGTCCACTGAAAGAAGCTGCTTGAAGAGGTGTTCCATAGTCACCTCCCCGCAGGTTTGGATCAGCCCCTTTTGCAACAAGTAGCTGGACCATGTCTAGATGTCCACAGTATGAAGCTGCACATAAAGCCCCACTCATGAGTTTCGGTTGAGTGTGATTGTCTCCTGATGCAACAGATGGTTGACAATTGTTTTCATGTTCAAAGATGCTGCAACACACAATGGTGAGTCTGCTGTGAACCAGTACCAATGCGGATTTTCCCATGAAGGCAATGAGGAACCCAAACCAAATCGCCAAAACTCGAGCCAACGTTTGATTGAGGCCACCTGCAGAAATGACAAGATTTTGTCTTCAATGGTGAATTCAGGCTGTCCTACTGCATGCAGGAGGGAATATTCACTATAGCAGAGCAATGGATGCTCCATGCACAATTCTTCCTGCTTGTCGCTGTCCTCAGGGAGCTGCAGAAACTCGGGAAAGGATAGATATGTCATACAATGTAAGACAATTTCTGTGTGGGCATTCACAAATCTGTCCTTCTGGCATCTCTCCAGATAGTCCTGTGTGGTGTAGTGGATTAGGCAAACAACAGAACCCATATCATCAACCATCACAAGGCCAGCACAAGCAGCCAAGATCATATCTATGTCCAAGAAGTTCTCTGGATTCAGCCCGGTAGAGTTTGGTTCAATGGCTAATGCTTCTCGAAGCTCTCCCACTACAAGTGGTCGCTTTACATGTGTGACCCAGGTCAGAGTTAGGTGGGCCAGTTGTCT